CAAGGGGAGGGTGTTGAATATTCTAACGAGAGCGCTCCCGGAAATGATCACGCGAGCCAAGTGTTTTAATTGTTGTAAATATTTTGATTGAAGAAAGGTCAAGGTTTTTAGTTAGTTAGTAAGGAGGACAAAAACTTCGTAACGGGGGGAAAATATTAAGGAAATAGCAAATGTGAAACATTTAAGAGAAATATTCATATAATGTAGACAGTGCATATTACGATAAGAAATTGCTGGTGACCGCGATTGAAACGGTAATGTTTTGCGTTAAGATACCGCCTATGAGAGTGTCACTCAAGCAATAAACCCCGTAGAAGATGTCCTTTCTTTCTCTATGACTCAAGAAGACTCCGACTACAAGAAAGTATAAAGAAACTATATATTTATAATTAGCAGTACCAGAAGATCCCTCCAGGGAATTAACAGTGTAGCTGTTTTGTAGTTTTCCGGGGTGCTGATCACGAATATCGTGTTAGTTTTGATCCAGAGATGATGTCTTTAAGCACTTAGACCAGGTCGGGTCAGGTCAGGTCAGGTCAACCGGTAGGGGTTGTGACGGGCATTCGTAATACGTGTCAACCGCCTCTGACAGCTTCGTAACATGTTACGAAGGCACCAAAACTACTTCGTAAATGTTCAAATGGTTGCTAAATTCGAATTCAGCTCCAAAAACTAGCCTAGAAACATGTAAAACTCGAAAAAGTGAACCGAGGTCACCCGAGGTCACCAAAGGTCAATGACCTGACCTGACCTTCAGGTGACCTTGACACCCACCTTAATGTATGGGAGCAACATCAAATCACATGTTTGAACGTTTGAAACCACGAAAAGCTTGCAAACGCGCGGCTAATGCGAGCCGACATACGCCGAATCGCGATTCCGGCCAAACATGGTCTCGGAAAAGAGGTCACAGGTCAAAGGTCATTTGGGTCAGGGTCATGAAATTTTCAGGGTAGGTGTAAAGTTGATCAATGCGAGGGTACTGAAAGTTTCGTCGCGATCGGCCGCTTTTTACGCGAGTTATTTGCGAAAAACCTTAGGGGGGGGGGGTGCATCAACCCCCCTGTGCCGGCGAGGGTTAAAATGTCAAGAGTAGCCCTCAAGACGAATTTCTTATTTCAGCATTTAGCGGGAAGCCAAGTGTTCCTCGGAAAGAATCCTGCGTTTTATACTGCTAGGCATCCAGTGACTTCCTGGTAATTCCACAGGGATTTGTTCGGTCTCCCCCTATGGATTCGGGAGTAATCAGTGCTCAGGCTCATCAGAATTTCCGGCGACTAAAGACGAGCGTTATACCAGTCATTAGCATATTTATATCCAAAGTCCTGTCGGCGGCTCCATCGTGTAACTACAATCGAAAACCTTTGTGCGTGAATCTGACTGAACAATAGGCTGGTTCCTGGTTTGGGACGTGGGGCAGGAACCTGATTTTATAGTTGGTAACGCTGCAAAAGTATAGCGTACATTCAGTGTTCCATAAGCACATCTGATTGTCTCAAGTCCCTTTGAAATGTAAGAAATAATTGAATATCAAAATCCTTTTTCGGATATTGCGGCTCATATTGATTTGCTTCGCCCGGTCTCCAGCGGAGGTATATTCATTTTAGCTATGTAGCTATTTTGTTCCCGACGTTTTTGGTGAACGACCCAACGCTCTAGTGATTCATTTGAAATACATTAGTCTAAAATGCTAACCAGTACATGCTTTACCGTCGTCTCCAACTGGCCTGTTTTCTGAACCCTTTCCGGTTTTATTAGTTTGATTTTTTTTTCTTATTAGTGTTCCCCACAAAATGTACTTTGCGCATCGCAGAGTCGCATTTGTGGCTTCAGACTTCGACTTTTCTGAGAATCGATCGTCCGTTCTCTGAAGGACACTGTCGCTATCCAAACGTGAGCTGCGGTGCATTCCTGACCGAAACTCTCAGAACAGAAGCGATGTAGGACCCTGCATGTCTCCGCGATGGGAGCGACGAACGGTCGTCGGCTAGGGGCGACACGCTGCTAGCATTTCCTGCGATTTACGACCTTACTGACTGTCGCGGCGCCGGCTGGACCCAGTATTTATGGTAATTGGTAGTGGACCTGCGCTAGGGAACCGCGCGGTGACGAACACACACACACACAAGCACACACATTTCCATTTCTGAAGCGGAATTCTAAATGCACAACTGATAATTGATTCAACCGCTTTGGTTCCGAAGTTCCGAAGTTATCGCCTATAACCAATTATATCATTATTTGGCGTCAATTGCGCCGAATGCAGCTTGCTCTAATTTTGTATGCATCAGTGTGCGATGCCACTAGCAATTAAATTAACTGTTCTTACCTAACTGTGAATTTTGTTTATCATTTATGTTATGCGTATAGGTTAGAGCAACTACCCAGACCATTTTGTCAGTGACGCACCTCGCCCCTTAGACGCTCATACGCCCTCAGGGGCAGGATCGGAGCCGACGCTTTCGACGCTCGTTAACCGTCAGCGCTCGTCACGATCGGTGGATTGTAGGCCCGTTGCCGTTTTCTGCGTTGTGTCTGCCTGTTGTCTGCGATGTCTGCAGAATGTCTGCGGTGGCTATGAGTTGTGGAGGCGGCAGACACACGCGGACTGGCTTGTGTCGGAATCCGCTGTGCAGAGCGGTGACGGGAAATGTTCGGTAACGGTGGAACACAGGGCAGCCAGTGACAGGTCTTGTTCGGTATCGGTGGGTGGGACGCAGCTCTGCGCTGCCGCCGTAACGGCGTAACAGTGAGGATGGCAAGGACGAAGAAACTGGGCGGTGCGGGCGGCAATTTGGGCGAAATGACATGACAGACAAAGATGGCTGTGAGTTTGAAACGAGTGGGTTCAGAAACAGAGTGGCCAGTTAGATTTCATGCTCTTGCAATGAAGATGAATTACAAAGGAAAAGATCATCCAGGATGGATGCAGCATTCTTTTCGTTTAAGGCTGGTTTCTATCGTGTTATAGTCCCCTCTTAACCTCCGGCCCGTGATGCCTAGTGCCTATTTGAGGTTGGTGCTAGGAGGATATGACCACGATACCAGACGCCCAAGTCAGGAAATATCTCTGGACGCTTTTAGAGCAAACGCTGCTGACTCGAAGGTCCACAGATACTCGTATATACCGGTCACGATGTGTCAGTGGAATATCACGGCCTCCCTCTCCCCACTTCCTTCCCCAGAGGAGGTACACGGTCCCGACAGGGGCGGAACGGAAGCGCCCTAGCCATGGGTCCGCAGTGTGAGTGATATCAGGAGGACGAACAGAGGACGAAATGACGTCTCGGTAATGTAAGCCGACTGAGCGGGCGTCTCACCGAACCGTCTGGACTGGACAACAAATTCAGGGACACTGACTCAGGAATGACGAGTTATCCGGTCACCTGAGACATGGCCACACCAAATTGAAAGCATCAGCGTATATCACGGGGCCCGAGTCTCCTATATTCTAGAACTGCGCTGCACCGGTACATAAAGTCCAGTTGAAATCCCTGCAGCGCGCCATCATGACTCGTTTCATAAGCGAATGATTCCGATACTGTCACGGCCCGTCCCACTAGTCATTCCGAGAAATCAGCCGGCGCGTCTGCCGGTTATAGCTGCGCCCTCTGAGCGGCCAGGGCACGTCGGTAAATCGGCCGGCCGGCCCGCCCCCGTGCGACCGGCCACGGGCCGCGCCCCATCCATCCACCTCCAATCTCCATTTGACGCCGCTTCAGACGGTAAATGGCCGGGGGAAGTGTTCCCTAGGCCGCCTTCGGTGAGCGGGCTGCCCCCGGCAGTAAACGGCTAATGGGGAGTGCGACTTAGCCGTGGCTCGAGCTGCGAGCAGTCCTCTGTAGATGGCACTTCTGTTTCGCCCTCCGAATGCGTTCGAGAGAACCGTTGAGAGCGGCGAAACAAACGACAATGTACAGTCCACAGCAGAAGTAATGTGGGGTTTCAGTCATGGGTATGTTCTGCTTCTGAAGCTTAGGAACGATTAGCCAGACTACAATGAAACTTTGAATGTAGCTTATATGTATCGTCACCCTTGCAGCTGCAACTCTAGCTATTGACATCTTCTTTTCGATCACTTCGCATTTAACAATCGCCAGTCAAAGCCAACCGTTGACATTGATAAAACCCTACATTACTTTAGCGGTGGGCTGTACATAGCAACAATCAACCCTGTGCTCAGTGCATATGTGGAGCCCATGTCACAGGTGATACGTATTCCAATAACATTTAATCAGATGGGAGGAACCTAGGTAATTATTATGCTGACAATAATAAAGAATTTGGGTACTTCGATCTCAGTTCTAAATCGACAATTTCATTTAATAAATTTTCGGCCATGAATAAAATAAAACACAAATCACTTGCTTCCAGATTCAACCAAAAGTTTTTTTTTTTGGAATTTGGAACGAACTGTCGAACTTTTTTGTACATTTTGCGACTTTTAGCGCTAGTCAAGACCTATGCCCCCCTCCCCCCGCCAAAAAAAAAAACGAAAAAAACCGCACGGTTTCATCCGATGGCGTGAACGGCGTAAAACTCTCCACTTCATCACCTCATATGATGTAACAATCGCTGCACGCTGACCTATGACCTCAGCCACAGCAGAGCCAGGTGACCTGGCGGCGGGCTGCCGGGTCTGTGGGGGCTGCGTCACCCGTGTTACCAGCACCAGGCGGCCGCCCCGTGCCGCCCAGCCGTCCGTCAATTCGCCACGCGGCACCCGGTCGGCGTTATGGCCGCACTTAACTCGGCTTACCCGGCTTTATGATTGAACTAATGAAACGGGGCGCCGTCTCTGCAGTCTCCACAGAGCCGTTATCAGGTTCGACTGCACGGCATCTGTTTGGTAACGATCCAGCGCCTGTCTGTCTCTGTTCGTGTGTCTGTTTGTCTCGCCGGTCGGCCGGGCAGGGCAGCAGGGTGCGGTTACGGCAGCACGTGTTGCCAGCGCAGCTGTGCGCTATCCGAGATCACCTGAGGCCCATGGTAATCTGCAGGTCTGCAGGCGCTCTCGCCTCTCGCAAGCCAGGCGGCCGAGGACAGCGCGCCGCTCCGCGTGGGGTACCGGTGACGACTGACACCGGTATGCGCGACCAATGACTACGTACGAGGGCTATAAATCGTGACGAGGTGGTATGCCTTGAATGGGTTTTGTTTCCATCCCTAGCTATAACTCAAGGCTTAGACCTGTGTGCGAGAGATAGCAGACATCGACTTCGCTGTGTTAAGTTTGAAGGCAGAGAGGAACCGACTGGCTGACTTTTTCCTGTATGGGTTGCGTCAGTGATATTTGTGCGTTTTATAGTTGTCCGTGCAGTGTGCATTGTGCCTTTCGCCCGGGACAAAAGTAATTTTTTACCTGCCTGCGGTGTAGTGCACTGTGTGTATGCAGCCAAGGATGTGATGCCCGTGATGGTCAGTTAAAGTAATTCAGTCAACGAAGCACGGTTTGACGATTGTCGAGCCCGTTGTGCACTTGATTTTGTCGCCGAAAGCACCTGTACCTTATTATATCGCCTTACCTGTGCAAACTGTGCATGGAAATTATATGCACATCTTTCTTCTACAGACGGACACGCCAGAACTCATGTTACTTGGTAGCTATGATCCCAATTCCCAACCCTAAACGCGATTTATTTTCCACTCACCCCGGCACGGCCTTCGTTACTGGCTCAACAAGGGCCCCTCAGAAATTAATCCGTCATGCTCTTCTGCGGCGCTGGTCCGTCGCCATCTTCTGCGGCGCTGATAGGTCGTGTCTTCGGAGGGCGAAGGCCTCGGACGCCAGCAAGGATTTTGGCGCTCCATAAGGTTCATTATTGTATGCCTTATGATGGGCGCCAAAAGCCTTTCTGGCGCCCAATCGTGCCCCATACAGATGCTCGCTGACTGCTTGAATGTCGTACACCGCTTGGATGTCTTGCAAGATTACATACCATTCGTTCTGGAAGGTGTTACCTAAGAATCATTTTGATATTTAATCCTACAGCTTGTGATTGCGCGGACCGCGGTGACGTAACATTCGCTGCTGCCGGCTTTGTCACAATGCATTTATGTATTTCAAGTGATTGACCAAATATTTACCTACTTACGTACTGTCCTGCGTCACAGATGATGCTCATAAAGTGACAGTTCCTAGGTCTGATGAATGAAATGTCATGCGACGCAATTGGAGTCTTCCTGAATAAAAGAGCATGGTAACATAGCAAAAATTGGATAAAGCCTTATATTGTTCCGACTAAGCTTTGATTTTATCAATTATTTGATAGCTAAGCAACATCAGCTATCGGTATGAATGAATGAATGAGTGAATCGACTCTATATAGATTTTCGCCAAGAAACATGGATCAAACCAAACAATTCGCTGAAAACGCCCCAACACATTACATCATGCGAAATTCATCTTCCTTCAACACCGCGAGGCCTGCAGGAGAGCGGAGCTCCCGTCAGGCCCCCGGCACCCCTGCGGCAGTGCGTGACCCCGGGCCCCTCCTGGACGGGGAAGGGGCGGTAGCAGCGCCCCTCCGGGTCCGTTTACAGCCCAGTTTGATGGCGCAGCGGCGGCGGTGTGGCGGCGGGGGAGGCCGAGGCGCGCATGTGTGCCTTTATGCGCGGCAGGCGCGCGTGTGTGTGCTATGCAAGCTGCAGGCCCTGAGCTGTTTCACGGGACTGATTTACGATCCAGGCTTCTGTCGAGTAGCTGACTCAGTCTCCAGTCTCCAGTTTGAGTCAGAGGACCACCGAGTCTGAGTCACAGGACCTCCAGGTCTGCCACAGGACCATCAGATCTGTCACAGGATCACCGAGGTCCGAGACTGAGCCACGGACCACCAAGTCTGTCACATGACAGCCGCCGTGACGAGCCATTCTTCGTAGTGTGGCCGACTGTCAAATGTCCCACGGCGACACGAACCGTCATTCTTACGCTTCATATCAACTAATCGACACCACATTTCCTTTTTGCGAGCCCAATTTGGTTCCATCACCAATACTGTCACATTCACGTCCAGTAGCTCCCGCCAAAACGGCCATCTCCCGCGCGCCGTCACCGCTTCATTGGAACCGACTTCGGGCAACAGTTGAAATGCGGCCGCCCCACACCGCCCTTTTCCGCTGAATCGGCGCTAAAGAACCGCTCAGATTTAGGAGCGGCGGCTAATCAAGTCATTCGACGAGCGTACGTCGCAGTTATGAACGACTGTGGCCGGCTGGCGACAAAAGTGGCGCCGTCGAGACGATCGTAGCGCGCGCCACAAAGGAGGCCGCGGCCCCGGGCGCGGGAGGGGCGGCATGCTAGCAGCGACTGGGGGCGGGGGGGGGGGGGGGGGAGAAGCGACGTGCCGACCGCCGCCGCAGCCGCCGAGATATCGCACCGGAACCGTTCTAATGGCCTATGGACGCATAAATTCGGCGTCCGGCGGCCTGTCGACACGCGCGGCGGGCGGCTGAGACGCGCGCTGCAGCCGGCAGGCCCCCTCTGCATCCCTGCAGCCCCGTGTGAGCCGACCGGGCTCGAACCACGCCCGGGAGGCGGCTCACGCGCCGGCCAAACAATGGAGAGCGCCGAGAGACCGGCGAGTTATGGACCGGGCGATAATCACGTACACACAGCTGATTAGGCGCAGAGCGCGTCAGCAGCTTCCCAGCAGGAGGTGGGTGGTGGAAGGTGGACGGTGGACGGTGGACGGGGGGCGGTGGACGGTGGACACTCGCGCCAAATTAGAAATTATCGTCTAAAACTGTTGCTGAAGCTCCCATGATCTCTCAAATGACATATAAATCGTATAATGTATAGGAAGTCGCGTATTTGCAGATAATCGAAAGAAACCTGACTAGTGCGCTATTTGTAAAACAGTACCGCATCGCTGTGGATACTGAATAAGTTACAATTCCCTAAACAGTTCTCTTTCTTGGTTTTTAATTTGGCATCCCTCGTTGAAACTTCAACCGTTCTCTCTATCTGATGCTTTTACTGACAGATTAGTCCTACAAATTGCCTGTTTCCCATTAACTTTACCACCATTCGGGCTGACTGAGGGCTTCCACCGCTGATCCGTTGGCCTACCGAGGCTAGTCCCGTCGGCATATCACCTTTGTTCGCCGAAAACTCTCGGCTGAGATCGACAGCGGGCAATGCAGCCCTCCCCGGCTGGGGAGCGGCACACGGGGGTCGGTTAGCAGGCATTTGGAGGCGGCTCGGGCGCGCCGGTGCCGCCGCCGCGAGTTACTACCTTCGGCTCGACCCTCCACTCACCAGTTAAAGCAAATGGAACAGAAGCCCTGGATCTTCGGCCGATCTTTGCAAAATTGAATGAATAAAACAGAGTGGCTGGACTGCCGGGGATCGCCGCCCGGAAGCCGACAGACGCCAGTTATCCCAGGTCATATATCCGAATCGGCATAGGTGGACAGAACGGGCTCATTCGCAGAAGTACGTATGGGACTTCCATGATGTGATGTGTGGCAGACGTGCTGCCCGGACGCTGTCAAAGAACAAAGGAAAACACTGAGCCTGGCTGGACGTTTTAGGGAGCCTAGAGGATCAAGCAACAAATTAGTATCGCCAAGCCTAGCTATCATTTCATTCGGACATACGGAACCTGGGAAGAATGAAACGGAATATCACCATACGATAACTCAAAGGCTCTTTGTTAGCTTCAACCCACGTAACTCAGGTATCAAGAGGAATATGTAATGCGCATTCGTGTGTAATGCTTAAATGCATTCATTAATGTGCATTTATTGATGTGTTCATTGACATTCATACGTATGCATTTACTATAAACGGAAACAGCTTATTTAACGAGACCGTTTTTAACGGTGAGCGAGGTGCACTAAGCAGACATTAAATCAATCATGAATTTGAACCTACGCTCCCCATATCGCTTACGTATTCATCACAAAATAAAACGTTTTATTTTAGTGATTCATGTCCAATTACCAAGTGAAATAATGTGATGTGGATTACAATCTAGTATGCACACCAGCACCTGACCTACCCATGCCAGCAATATCAGGCAACGAAGGCTGAAATAGTCAAACACAGGGAGGAAGTTCATATAGTTACATACCACACCGGAAGGTATGTTCCTATCTCGTGCACGGCACGGCAATATAAACAACAAATTGCAGCCCACCTAGGCGGATAGCATAGCAGCAAAACAAACGACAAACAGGGGGCATAAAGCTCATTTTTCCTGACACGCCAGCTGGGCGGCGGCAGCTGGGTCTGCCGACCCGCCGATGAAGGGGGCGCGCGCCAGCTGTCGCAGCCATTGAAGCTCTCCGCTGCATGGTGCAGCGGAGGATAGCGCCCCTCCCCTCCGTGCCGGCCGGATAGGACGGTCCCTCAGAGGGCAGCCCGGGGCCCGTCATGAGCGGCTGTTTGATGGTGCTGGTTCGGCCACGTGGTGGCTGCACGCTGTGCCGGCGTCACCTGTCCCCCACTGCCACCTGGCTCTAGCTGCACGATCAGGGCGGCTGATCTACCGGCACAGCAGCCGAGCTCAGAGCATGGCGCGAGCCGCGGACCGGCGCGGTGCAACGGGGATTATTTGGTACCGGGAACCGGCGAGTGAACAATGTCATAAAGGTTTTGCTCCCTCTGTAAGAAAAAGTCTGTCGTCTGATTTCTACCGCGGACACACACACATTTCAGCAGATCCAATTGCATGGTTAGTCTTACTCACAAGTACCTGTTAGCTTCATTTAGTTCACCATTACCTATTGTATGTGAATTATCTACACATTGAGCCATGCCGATGCGTGTTGAAGTGTGACTCGAACACTTTTAGTCAATTGTTTAATGCAGGCTATCGGCTGAGTCACCAATGGAATATTATTAGCGATGACTTATTTCTTGAACCCCATGACTCTGTCGTCATATTCGTTGTCCAGTGCCTTGGCCCTGTTTCCGGACCGGACGATCGCTGATGTGAAGGTATGTAGACTATCGAGTGTCAGCAATTATCACGGGGCTCCGTCTGAGCTCGTCAGGACTGCCGTCTGAGCTGCCAGCGTCATTGGTGACAGGGATTTTTTAACGTAAATGTCATTTTAACAAGTTGCCATTTTTAGTCGTAATGTGGCAATAAAGGAAATTCAAAATACTCGAATGCAACAAAGGAACAATTAAAAAGCATCTCTCGCATATGCAGCCCTTCGTTTGCAGCTTTGCCTATGCAGCACATACATCAATATGCTAATTAGCAGCAAAACACAGCTGCAACCAGATGTTCATTGTAATAAACGCTGGCGGTGCGAGATATCAACAGGCAGCTGAGACCATAGAAACTATAAATTTTGCAGAACTATATGGACGCTATTTATAGAACCACAGGTGTTATTTGGCGGGGCTAGAGCCCCAATTACAAATTTGATCTCATAACCCAAGCCCTGTAACCATGCCTGGTAAGAATATTTCTTTTTTTAATTTCGACATTAACATAGTTATATTACATCAATAGTTACACCTGAAAAGTCCCACCTGAGCTATATGTTGAATCTGATTCTGTGATTGGTGGTCATCCCCTCAAACGGTGACATTTTTACTCGATTTTGACACGCTCCGTAAAAATGGAATCACTTCGAGTAGCTGGGCCCACCCTTCGAGCTGAGTCCGGAGTCCCACCGACTCACCTGTGCTCTTGCACTCGTGGCAGTTGGTCTCGTCCTCTCGGCCTTCACAGTCGTTGACGCCGTCACAGATCTGATTATGTGGCACGGGACGCCGGTCGGCGCCCTCGCAGAAGAACTGCTCGCCGCCCACGTGAGTGATGTTAGAGGAGGTCGACAGCGAGCTGTAGGAACCCTCTGCGGTCGGCAGCTGCCAGTCTGAAATAGAAGACAGGTCCGAGTCAGCGAAACGGAGAGGGGCGAAACGAATACCGCTGCAAGGTGGCGACGCTCTGTGCCGAGCAGCAGCAATAGAAATGCTACATGCACATCAACATAGTGTAATAATGTGAATAGGTAATAATCATTTGCTCAGGCTCAGGCCTGATAGCTTGGAAAATAGCTCGAAATTAAAGAGGGTATGGCCAGTGGCGGATCCAGGATTTTCACTGGGGAGGGGCTGCAGGTCATAATTGGGCGCCACGCCCCGGATGGGCGCCATAGTCGCATCGTATTGGCGCTGAAATATTGGCGCCCAGTGGCCCTGACAAGAGGCGCCCAGGATCAGTATGTACAGTGACACCACACGATTGGAAATATCGGTGCGGAGCGTACTGAAACGACGTTATTCGACTGATTTTTGCATCCTAGTCCTAGTATGCGGCACTCCGATGAGTTGCGAATTGAAAATTGGCGCCACTGCGCCTTCGGCGCAGTGGCGCCAGTTTTCCTTGGGTGGGGGCTGCCAGCCCCCGCAGCCCCCCCCCTGGATCCGCCACTGGGTATGGCTGAAGTTGTTGAAACTTGAAAGCATGAACATTATTTCGGTTCAAAATGTTGATATGAATAATGTTTGGGCGATCAAAGGCGTAGATTTATTTGAAACAGCTTAGCTAATACGTCATCTATATGTTTCCGAACATTCCGTCAAAATGCTCACCATAACCATGTGATTGAATTTTAAGTTTAACTAATTATGCTCGTAATTGGCTTATCGTGTAAGGAACAAGGGATAGAAATAAATACGATTCGAACTTAATAAGGTGCCCTGGAAGCTTCAGTTAAGCTTAATTAAATTCATAGATATTTACGTCAATGCGAATATGTTCTTATCAGGCATACCGCTTTAGCTACATGCTTCCGGTCCGGAGCTCGTCAACGTTTCTAGTCTCCCCCATGAACGTGATACGACCCGGTACGTCACTCCGGAGGAATGGGGCCCGGGGTGCTACTGGGGGTTGTTTTGAGCCTCTCTTCCTGTGCAGCCGAGGCTGAGCTCGCGGGCTGGCTGAGCTCAACACAACTGGGCCAGCAGCGCCGCCCCCACAAACTGCCAGCTCAGCGGTCACAGCGCTGGTCGGCGGCGGCGGCGGAGGAAGGGTCGAGGCGGCGGCGGCGGAGGAGCCGGTAGGTACTGGAAGGTAGGTATGAAGGACCTTACGCAGTCCGTGTCATCATAGTATCAGCATTCAGCAAGGTGGTTCGGACACGGACACTGTAGTGTCAGCATAATGCTTTATTAATTGCTCATTATTTACTTGTCGGTTTATCTGACAACCACAAAGAAGTGGGGCCTGGGCTTTACGACGGGACCGCTGGTCATCTGGCGGTTCTTCCCGGTGTTACTCACTCCGGTGGAGCTAACTTTGCCCTCCGCCAGTCCCTCCCGTGCACGGTGCCTGTGCACGGCGCTGCCCAGTTTGTGCAAAGGCAGCAGGTCGTTACTGGGACGTGGTGCCGAGCCAAACCCGGCGGCAGGGCTGTGGTCAGCGGCGGCCTGCTTCGCCAGGCATATTCTGTCTTAGAACAATGGGCAGGGGGCTCTGGGGTGGCGGACGGACCGGGTTGCCGTGGGGCTGAACCGTGGCATGGGCTGCCGTCACAGGTCTAAGACGGGGCCGGGGCTGCTGTCGCAGGGCTGAGGCGGGGTAGGGGCTGCCGTCACGGACCTAAGGTGCGGGACCGTGGCTGCCGTCGCAGGGCTAAGGCGGGGCGGCCATGGGCCCCTGACGCGGTGCTGAGACCGACCACTACCCCTTGATTTGGGCAGCGGTTGAGAATGGGCGCGTGCATTTGCTTTTATGTTCTTAAATATGGGTAGATTCGTGTTAAAAACCAACGAGATTGGCGATATGGTTCTTAGGACCTAAATGATGAGATGTTGATAAAACAGACGTTTTCTAGTTTCATTGCTTCATCGGATACCAAAAGAAACCGTGAAAAAGCATCGTTTTTTTCAATCCCGTTTACTGATGCTTGATTACCTTTTGACCTTTTGCTTTTGCGTACCATCAGATGACATGTGCTTCAATATAGGTAGCTATTTATATCATTTCCAAGTTTGAGTCGAGTTCATTCACTGTGCCCGAAAAAGATTTCGACCACCTCAGGTCGGTCAGTGCCTACCCGAACTATTGGAGATGCGAAACAACAGTGGCGCTTGATCGGTACTTGGGTGGGACGAAAAACAACATCCCAGAGTGGTGTGTGAGAGGCGTATTGGGAGCCACTGACCGATGTGAATCTATTATGGAGATACAGCCAGTTGTGAAGCGCGCCCGACGGCGTTTGACTTGCATTACATGGCTGGTTTCGCTTATCTTGTCCCCTGACGAACATTCTCCATTTACGCATTGATTCACAAGTCAATGGTTACATACTTACAACGTTATTTAGGACCCGGAAGCTTTCGTGCTATATCTAAAAGCTAGGTATCATTTATTTGCGATGAAAATTAACTAACTTATTTGGGAAGTTAGTTGAGAAGACTCACCGATGTAAAGCGCAATATTCGAATGTCCTCAGGCGACACAGTTTCATGATTGCACCAGAATAAACCAATGACTCCTTAAAATTCATCTAAGCTAGACCACAGTGCGTCTGTCTGTGCACACGAAGGCATTTCTGTTATTAACCCTTTCCAGAAGGGAAGTTTGCTGTTCAAACAGAGTGTAAGTACCGAGTGCAGGCACCTGTAGTCTGAACTATTTAGAGGTGCAAGGTATAAGCTATGGTGATTTCCCGTTCACACATTAGCAGATGTGCTTTATACCAAGTGGAAGACTACTATAATCCGTCCCCCCCGCGCCATTTGAACTGATCTCATAGGGCATCGGTTGACCTGACACCTAAAAATTGGACACTACATAATCGCTGTGTCTTGTAATGGCGCAAAACGCTCGCCACTCGCAAATCCTTAGCTCAGTTAGGGGCGAAACGTCAAGATGGCTCATCTCCCCCCGGCCTCTACAACGTGCAGAAAACTGATAGCTCCGGCGAAAGCCATTTCAAATGAAGCTGACATTAAGATAAATATGTTTGCAGACAATTGCATAAAACGATGCACTATTGAGCTATATGAAAGCCGGTGCTCACTGCAAAATAGCGCATCTCTTTATGCCGGGTACCACAATGATTTGCAAGTGTAGCGAACTACGTAACTACTATATCGTAAACTACTTCCTAAAAGTACTGGTAAATAGCTATAAATGAACACAAACCTAACACGTCACGGCCAACCCGCTCCATCTGCGATCGGCTGAGGCTGCGCCCGATCCGATGTGTAGTCTGGTCTGAACACAGTGCCGTCTTAGAGGTCACCGGGTGACCGGGGTCAGCCGGTCACGGCCAGTCGGCTGGTCACCGGGACCCCGAACAGAGATCACGTGTCCGGTGGAATTTAGCTCCATAGGACATCTCATGACTACCGGACCTTGCGAGGAACCCTTTATGATCGGTCCGCTGAATTTCAGGGAGGCATGTCGCGCCGGTATATTGTGCGAGTGCTTTAACCAGGGAACAGGAAAGACGAAGTAAAACGTTTCGCAAGAGTTGAGAGATGATAGGAGATGCTTAAAAGTGGTAAGGTGAGCGTTTGTGTTGTGATGTTTAAACACTGAGTATGAGGTAAGAGGAATGTCAGGTCGCCAAACAAACGTGCAAACAAATGAAACAACATGCAGGTGCGGAAAATGAAGGGCCAGAAAATCATGCCAAACGGAAGTTTCTAAATATGTACGTTTAAATTTGAAAGCATGCCATAAGAAGAATGGCTAGACCAGGCCAGACACGACCTGACCTTGCAGTGTGCCATGGATCTGAGCTCCTGAATTTGGCTCATAACATTGATAAAAATTAAAAAAAAAAAACATTGATCTTTACTTACCATCTTATATATCATTGATACATTTAGTTTTCCAATTTAATTGCCCAAGTTTAGAAATAAAATATAACCATAATTCACCACAAAATATTTCACAATAGACTGTCATAGACTTGACATTGATTTGTCATAGACTTTGACAATAGACAACAATTGGAATTGGAGTCATTGAGGTCATTCAATTACTTGCCCCATGCTCCAATAGGCAAATATTTGCACACACACACACACACACAAAAAACGTTTCAAATTAGCACAGTCTGAAGGCATTAAAATTGACGAGCCTCTATTCATTCTTTGTAGTACATACAGTTGACTACAGAATGATGCTTCACTTTTCACAATTAGTTTCCTGGGAGGATAGGCTGTGCCGCATCAAACTAACTGAGATCACAGTTCAATGCTGTGGCCCAATGCTCACAAAAGACACGCTTAGTGCGTGATAAACGGCACAACTTAGCGTTCCAGTCAACTGATAGCTTCTGATAACTGAGAGAGAGAGAGAGAGAGAGAGAGAGAGAGAGAGAGAGAGAGAGAGAGAGAGAGGAGAGAGAGAGAGAGAGAGAGAGAGAGAGAGAGAGAGAGAGAGAGAGAGAGAGAGAGAGAGAGAGAAAGAGAGAGAGAGAGAGAGAGACAGAGAGAGAGACAGAGAGAGAGAGAGAGAGGGAGAGAGAGAGAGAGAGGGAGAGAGAGAGAGAGGGAGAGAGAGAGAGGGAGAGAGAGAGAGAGAGAGAGAGAGAGAGAGAGAGAGAGAGAGAGAGAGAGAGAGAGAGAGAGAGAGAGAGAGAGAGAGAGAGAGAGAGAGAGAGAGAGAGAGAGAGAGAGAGAGAGAGACAGACAGAAAGAGAGGGGAAGAGAGGGGAAGAGAGGAACAGTCAAACAAAAAAGCATTAAAATGCGCCATAATATCTTATTGAGGCCCTTAAATAAAAAACGACTGTATTATTGGTAATTCGTTGCCAATTCAAAGAGAGGCATGTCCCGTTCATTGAGTAAATGCTGTAAAGGCTACTGGAGTTCACAAAAAGAGAATTGTTTTCTTGAGGCCGTGAACTCCGAATGTTACGAGGATGGGACAACTATCGTCGCTCTATCAGGGAAGGAATTCGTAGGGATTTTTTGTCTATAACTTTCGATTTCTAATACTGTATATTACAAGTTGTATGTTATTGTATCACCCTAACTAATTATGCTCTTTAGCAGACTGAAAAAGTCTATCGACGTTGGAGGAATATGACGGCGGCGACATCACACAATGAAGAAGTTTTTCAGAGTGCAATGGGGAATACAAGCCAGCATGAAAGCTGCTTATAGTATTAAAAGAAAATGGCGTTTTGAACTGTCAATTGCCTTCAGTGGCGGATCCAGGGGGGGGGGGCAAAATGGGCATTTGCCCCCCCCCAAACGGCATAATTTTAACATTACGCCTATGGACGATGCATGGAAAGAATCGATAAATTGTTATGGTTTGCCCCCCCCCCAAACCTCTGAGCTGGATCCGCCTCTGATTGCCTTCAGATCCCTAGGTTACAGGTCGTTACAGGTCGTTACACCACCTCTTGGAAAAATTCTCGATTGTGCAAAAATGCATGCTTTCCATATAAATATAGGTTATCGTAACCCTTCTGCGTTAATTTACTTTCAGCTATTGAGTCAAAAATGTACAGCGAAGAAGAGTTCCTGGACGAGCACAGAATCTGCAAAAGTCTTTGAACAAACAGCAAAGTGCTTGCTAGGCGCTTTTTTAAATGATTCGATTGGATTCATTGTGATGACACGAAAATAATAGCGCTTTTTAATTTTGATGATGATAATTTTGCGTTTCTTTATCATCAAACTGTTATTCAAAGCCCGACTGTTAATAAAAGTCTGACAAGCCTGTGTTTGACGGACACCGTCTGCTGCGACTGGACCTTGCAGACGGGACAGGACACCCACACCCGGACAATAGCCTGAGGCGCCGTACAGACATGACCAGATGTCTCACACGGAGGTCGCACATCTAGACAGGTTAGGGTTCCACACCCGCACAGGATCGGAGGTCTTACAACCGCACAGGACCCAAGGCCTCACCCGCACGGGTCACAGGACAGGACTCACGGAGGCCTCACGCCTAGGCGGGTCTGGAGAATCCACTCGGGGGTCCCACGCCCGAACATTATGGGAGGTTCCACTTGGACAGGACCAGGGGTCCCACACCCGGACAGATGAGGGGGTCTCAGATCCGAAGAGGACGGGGGGGGGGATTTCACGGGCAGCTTACTAGAAAAAGACCATGATCGGGCAATGATCGCACAGAATAAGCTCGTAACGCTGCAGTCTTCAATGTAAGTCTAGCTCAACCGGAAGTCCCAGCAATGCAAAACACGGCCATAAAAGCACACGTGCGCTTTTAAGTGCGCTGCACAGCGTCAATGCCGAGGTTAGTTGTCTCCCGCGGAGCTGGCTCCTAGAATCCAGCAGAGCCGCAGGACCCTATCCTTGGAATAAGCCGTTAGTAGTTTCATGGCTGTTTCCCGATGCGACAGCGAATGTGTATGTCCCGTACAAGTTGACGGCCGCATTTTATGACATAGTTACATTGTGAAAAGCAACGGCCCTGCTCGACGTCTTTCTGCTCATAGACAGAATCTATTCTATTTCAGTTATAGGCTTCAGCATGTTTTGAAACTTTAAGCGTCAAATTTGAAAATTACCAAAAAGATTTGGATCATCATACATAAAGGCTCCATTTGATTATCAGCATTTGAATTAAGAAGTCCATCGCCATCGGCCATCGCTGCCAAAAACCTAATAGCGCCACTGCCAGCCTACAACTAAACAATATTGTGAATGGTTTTAGTCGTGCCGAATACATTTGAATATTATATAGCTACAGTTGTTGTACCCAGCACAGTGGTACCACAAAGCCGCCTTTTCTGGGGTCGCCGGTCCGACACTGCTGCGCCAGCTGCGGCCGTCCCAGGCCCGGCGCCTCCGCCGATCGGCGTCGCCACAGCTCGAGGGCAGAGAGGGTCGCAGCGTTCTCGCTCGTCCGTCGGCCCGGCCGGCACGCCTGTTGCGTCGCTCCCGCCGCACCCTCGGCCGGGGCGACGCACGACCTTCGTCGGTGTGATAGCGTGGGAGAGATGACGGATGCGTGGGAAAACGAGCTCCGACAAGCTGCTGGGACGGAACGCGGAGCTGCAGAAATGCTGGCGGGAGATGGGATCGCTTTTGTAGGTCAAGTTTTTAGCTTGTGAAAATTATACCAACGATATGCACAATGGGATGAGCGCGAGCCTTGCCTGGCAGGTGTTTTCGGTCGTGGCACTGCGACTCACCTGAGACTAGCAGCAGCAGCAGCGGCGCTACGAGGCTGGTGGAGAGGCTGGCCGTCATCGTCACCGGGCACGGCCTCAGTCGGACAGGGGGGAACGCTCATCTGACTGCCGCCCCGGCGGAGCGCTCCTGACCCGCCGCCGCCGCCGCCGCCGCCGTCGCCGCGCGCTGCGATTGGCTGCCCGGCGTCGCCGTGCCCTCCTCGCGCCCGACGAATGGGGCGTCCAGGAGGCGACCGACACGGACCGACCGCCGCACGGGAGCCCGGCGGGCGCCGTGTGCCCAACTGCAGACCGATCGGCAGACAGCGCGGACCCCCGCTCTGCAGCCGCTCCACAAAGACAAATTGAGATTCTCGTCGAGACCGACGGCGACCTCTCGGGACCGACGACGCGTCGTCGCGCGGGCGTCGCCGCCGTCACGGCGATTCCCGGCCTCTGCCCGGTGTTTGGTGAGGGGCTTAATTCGGTCACGACAGGGGCGTGGTGTTCTGGCGATCGTGGAACGGCTTAAATTCCGGTTTGGGAGCGGCTCAGCCGGGCCCCGTCGGCCGACAGCCCGGTGCCGGGGGAATCGACGGCCGGAGAAATGAAGTGGATGCGGAGATTTGATTCCATTTGAGTGGGGCAGTGGGGAATGCCAAGAGCGTGACAGAGCACAGTAGGGTTTTGGATGAGGTCCACAGATATGTGGAAGAAATGGGAAAGGGTTAGAGTGAGTGGAGAAAGAGAGGCAAGTTCAATAAAAGATACCTAAATGAAAATCAGGAGAGAGAGAGAGAGAGAGAGAGAGAGAGAGAGAGAGAGAGAGAGAGAGAGAGAGAGAGAGAGAGAGAGAGAGAGAGAGAGAGAGAGAGAGAGAGAGAGAGAGAGAGAGAGAGTCGATCTGAAGGCGAAATATTGAAAGACATGGAGATGTCCAACCGCATTCAATGTTGAATATATTGCTGGCTGAGATGCTGATTAGATATGCAATCGGTCACGGGTCTCTTATCGCATCATCTTTTTCCAATTCTTGTGGTGAGTTGAATCGACGAGCTCTAAGAATGCCATCACTCTATGACATGCTCTTTAAAATATTTTTCCTTGCACGAAAGCATGCCTGTTCCTGCACTGAGTTCCGTCATGTCAGTATTGATTTCTCATAAACCGTCAGCGTCACGAACCGAAGAGGCACGAATAAAACGGCGCCCTGCGCAATAATTCATGCCTAATCAACAATAAAAATTATATTAGGGGACCTTTTCAGCTACGCTAGAACTCAGCTGCTGCAGTTTACGGTGATTGGTTCAACCTTATGACAGGTCGAGCCAAATATAACTGCATGGTAGGTAACGACTGTCCGGATCAGTGAAGACATGTTTTTGATCTGTGATGCTCGAAATGTGACGGAATATTGCCTAGCACATTTCATTGCAAACGAAACCTTCAACAGGAGAAGGGTGGTCTCCAAAAGCCTGTCATCCAGGTCGATCATGGTCAACCTCAACCATTCCACTCAGCATAAACCCAAAAATATTTATAAAATACGTTCCTTTCTTTCTCTTGATGCAATTTCCGCAGTTGTATAAAGGCTATCGTACCTTTTCTTTATACGGATTCTTACCTTACACAGCTGACAGCACTCCTTTGCTCTGCTGAGTCCTTTGTCGAGCAATGTTGAATTTCACTGCTAACAGCTAAATACTACAATGGTTAATCTCTAGCTTCTCTCTCTCTCTCTCTCTCTCTCTCTCTCTCTCTCTCTCTCTCTCTCTCTCTCTCTCTCTCTCTCTCTCCCTCCCTCTCTCTCTCTCTCTCTCTCTCTCTCTCCCTCTCTCTCTCCCTCTCTCTATCTATAGGTATATCTCCAGCTCTCTCTCCGCTTCCTCTCTCTTTTCTTCTCCTTTTTCATCTTTCTTCTTCTGTTCAAGCCGCGCTCATTGGTGACAGGTTATTGCACCACTTTTCCATTATTTACGATATTATCTGGTATGAGCATCTATGACTCATAGTTCTTCGGAATGCTTGTGACGAGGTGTTATATATAGTAGCATTGATGTTATAGTAGCACTGAACTAACATCCTCTACGACTCGTTTTCCCGTTTGGGTCATGTAAGGTGCAGAGTAGGTGGGGCGAGGTCCGCGTTCCGCAGGTCATTATGTGCACACGTGTTGGTGGGAACGAACTTCATCTGACCACCTGGGTTCAGCGATAGCGAGCTGCTATTCAGCTATATAGGGAGGCCCTATCGGTGCCCTCGCGTCTACCAGTTTTAAAGGTGAGCCTACGCCGTGAAAATTGTGACTTTTTTGGTGTGGTATCGTCTCTGCTCTGTGGGCAACGCGTTGATATTAGCCGTTTTCACGACGGCCATCTGGTACAGATTTGGTGCACGTTTGGTGCAGATTAGGTGCAGATTTGGTCAAATTAGGTTCAGTGTATCTCTTAGCAGCTATCAGCTAGGTTTGCACTAATTGCTTATATGCCTGCTTTGTCATATTATCAGAGAGTATAATAGATTAAAACACTGAAATAAGTTCATAAAATGAATATATTTGCTGTAAAAGAGATTAGGTGCAGATTTGGTCAAATAACCCGCGCCCTGCTGGGGGGGTGTTTGAACACCCCCCTTGTGGTTTTTCGCGAATATCTCCAAAACGGCGGCGCGGAGCGCCGCCGTTTTTGGTACACCTTATCGTACATCAATTCTACACATGTTGTGAAAATTTCAGACCAAGGTCATTCAAGGTCAGGTCACCAGGTCACTTGAAGTGACCTCACCTCATAAAAAGTTTCAATGTCTGTCATTCCCAGCCAGCCATCCCAAATGGGGCCCACATGGGCTGGAAGTGGGGCATCTGGGCGAATGTGGGCTGGGCTACATCTGGGTATGTCATGGGCGTCCAACTGGGTCCCAGATGGGCTAGATGTGCTAACTTTACGTGCTGGACTTGGCCAGCGCCTCCACTGTGCCGCTACACTGCCAGACTCCTGATCTGACAGCCGCCTGGGCACACCCCTGCCCGTGTCCCTGCGAGGTCGCTGATACTGTGTCGCCGGCGTTCGTTGTGTGGTGGCGCGGCCGCCCCGCCGGCAGTTGGTGACTATAAATAGACGCAATACGGCGCTGACGGACCGCTCGGGCCTCTATCACTATCGTTACAAACTCTTCCCACTTTTCACAATAGGTACGCATCCACGCTTCCGTTCTCTACCAGCCGCCTGCCGCCTTCCTGCAGTGGTAGCGTAGTGTAGTGGTTAGGGTCCCCGCATCATGTTCCATAGGTCTTAAGTTCGAATCTCTGGGGATCTAGTGAGAGGCAAAGGGTACGCGGTTCTCCCACGTGTGAACACATTGCTTTTTGGGATTCACGCGGAAATAGTGGACGACATAAGCTAGGTACCAAATCCCAATTAAATTCCATGTGCGCTTTTTGCATGTGTCCGTCTGAGTCCCAACTGGGAAAGCCCGTGTGGGACCCATATATATGCATATATCCCAGCTGGGTCCCATATGGGCCCCACTTGGGCTGCCCATGTGGGTCCCAACTGGGAAAGCCCATATGCGGGCTCAATACGGGCCCCAGATGGGTCCCACATGGGCCCCGTCTGGGGTGCCCAGATGGGACCCAGTTGGACGCCCATGACATTCCCATCTGGGTCCAAGGTGGGCAGCCCAGATGGGTCCCAGTTTGGAGCCCACTTGGGGCCCATGTGGGCCCCACTTGAGAAGGCTGGCTGGGTAGCTACACCGAGTGACCGATCGCTTTGAAACTTTCAGCGATTGCTAAGAGCAATAGCATGTACAAAATGTATATCTCAGAATTTTGATATCGATGACCTAAGGTCAGGTCAATTTTGCGACCTCCCCATTATAAGTCAATGGGAGAAAATTGAAATGCGCCTCTTTTGGACAAAAGACATTATAAACACTCCCAAACACCGAATTACAAGTGGTTCAGACACACTGAACATGAAAATGGTGTCAGTGACCCTTGTTTATGCCCTGAGGTCATCTTAGGTCACGAATGGTATCTAACAGTTTTTCGCGAATAACTTTTGATAGAGGCATGCTAGAGCGATGAAAACGCCTTAGATGTGTTCAGCTTGACGATACGGATCGACTGATATGCAACATGACCCTTTCCGGTCAGGTCATGACCTTGACCTGAGGTCAAATTTTCAAGTTGACCTTTCAAGGTCAACTTATAGTTCATTCGATGCGTCTTGACGAGAGGAACACAATGCCGGTAAAAGTAAGCTCGTACAAGGCTTGAGTCAAAAGTTATTGCAGAAAAACTGTTTCCGAAAAAATCGGCTATTTTTGCAATTTTTGCCCCCTGCAGGCAAAACCGTTGACGTTAGGTCAAATCTGAGAGAATTACTCAGAAAGGGCTTTAATAGGGCTATCGAATGCTCTTTTCCGCGGCGCTGTAACTCTATTGGTTCTCGAGTTATGCATTGGCTTCTTGGAAATTTTCGACATTCGACCTGGAAATCGGCGAAATTTTGCCTTCAATGACCTCTGGTGACCTGACCTTTGACCTGACCAAAAAATTGACCGAAGTGATTTCGTCATTATTTTTGACGCTCTTTCGAACGCCGCCTTCCGCGTATCGCTACGTGGCCCAGGAGCCGAGTTACAAGGGGGGGTGTTCAAACACCCCCCCCCCCAGCAGGGCGTGGAAATCCAGGACCCCCAGCCGGGCGCGGGATAAGGTGCATTCGCAGGGTAGCCCGTCGTGAAAACGGCTATTGTGAGGTTGTTGGTAGAGGAGTGACAATGAAATTTATCAGGCGAAGGATACCCAATGGTGACCTCAAAAATAGAGTGTCTGCTATGAAATAAACTAGAAAAAGGACACTAAAAGCTGTTCTCCAAAAGTATTTCGGAAATAAGTCATGAATCTGATTCAATTCTGGAAGCGTCTCTTCTCTCAGCTGAGATATGGGCCGATTTCCTATTGACACACCTATTTTTGTGTCAATTATTTTTAACATATTGCCAAATGTTCAAGAAGTGTCAGTTTATTTAGTATAAGGTCGTGATGCGTTGGGATGGAATACTTTATTGTGACACATTTCAGATACAGCTCTCAAGCAATCATAAGCTTGAACAACTTTCGGTTGATATTCTGGTTACCTGGTTACGTGATGAGCACTTTCCTGCCTTCAGAGTTCAGATATCCTCATGCTCTTTTCAAACTTCCCTTTTTATACGAAGTGACTTCAGGAACTGGTGCTACTGCTAGTGTACGGATGTTGAGTTTAACATTGCCCTAAAGTGACACTACAGTGAGTGTATGAGACATGCCCTATCTCCACACAGACCCGGAATCATGAAGGTGCTTTTGGTGTTGGCTCTGGCTCAGCTGGCCGTCGGCTTTGAGCTGACCGACCCCGACTGGGTCGCCTTCAAGGTCAGTACCTACCGCACCAGAGGCCACCGATCTAGCCAGCAGTTATTTGTATGTACTGCCAAACGATTGCCGATAGTTATCTTATACGATGTAAAAACATCAACCTTTGGCGTTTCGTGTTTCAGAGTTGTTATGAAAGGCTCAGAATAACAGGCTCCTAAGTTACTCGGGAAGATTTGGAGCGACACCCAGCAATGCTTCACTGCGTGATATAATGTCAGAGTACGGATCAACTTTGCTTGCAAGCCGCAATGCAGAATGTAAGGCTGTGAGCACCACTTCCTTTTCAGAGCGCCCATGGCAAGTCCTACTCGCACCCCGCCGAGGAGGCCGCTCGTCTGGCCATCTTCAAGGACAACCAGCGCCTGATCGCCGAGCACAACGCTGGCAACCACTCCTTCAAGCTGGGCGTCAACAAGTTCGCCGACCTCACCAACGCCGAGTACCGCCAGCTGCTCGGCTACAAGACGGCCGAGAAGCGAGGCCTGAAGAGGTCCGGCAAGCACATGAAGAGGGGTGTCACTGTGGCCACCAAGGACTGGCGTGACGCCGGCGCCGTCACCGCCGTCAAGGACCAGGGCCAGTGCGGCTCGTGCTGGGCGTTCTCGACCACCGGTGCTGTGGAGGGCATGTGGGCTATCGCTGGAAACCCCCTCGTCTCGCTCAGCGAGCAGCAGCTCATGGACTGCTCTTACGCGTGAGTTTCCACTGCACCATTCATAAAACATGACTACCTTTGAGGAAGCATGCTTGATCAGGTGCAATTTACGGCGGTGCTTAAATGTCACGCATTCTTTCGCTAATACGGTAGTTAAGGCTTAGGGAGTAGTTCCCCAATGTGCCGGGATTTATACCAAATTCTTCAAGAAGAGCTGTCGTAGCATCGAAAGAAACAAGAATGAGTTTGCTTCATTTGATAACTGACGGTTATCGCTATTTTCTCGTTCATTTACTGGAGTGCAATGGTGCGGCTCGAAAAAAAACTAAATAATGAAAGAGAATCACAGATATCTGTTATCCCGGCTCACATTGGTTATGTTCAGGGGCTCAGGGCGACCCCAGCCCCCCTCAATCTTTTTGAATCATTCGTAATGCCTGGCCAAGGCTCTGCTGATATCCACACATGACCCTTGCATGACCAAAAACAATATTCGTCCGACAGGTACGGCAACTTTGCCTGCAGCGGTGGCCTCCAGTCTAGCGCCTTCGACTACCTGGTGGACGAGGGCGGCATCATGTCCGAGGCCGACTACCCGTACACCATGTCGTCGCACCTGCAATGCAGCTACGACCCGGCCCAGTCGGCCGCCAAAATCTCCTCCTGGGTGGAGATCTCCGAGGCCGACGAGACTGAGATGGAGGACGCCGTCGCCAACATCGGGCCCGTCGCCATCGGCATCGACGCCTCTCACTTTTCGTTCCAGCTGTACTCGAGCGGCGTGTACGACGAGCCTCGCTGCCTGAGCGCTTACAACGACCTGGACCACGGCGTGCTGGCCGTCGGCTACGGCACCGAGAACGGCCAGGACTACTGGCTCGTCAAGAACTCTTGGGGCGCCAGCTGGGGCATGGACGGCTACATCAAGATGACCAAGGGCAGCAACCAGTGCGGCGTGGCCACCGACTCCAACTACCCTCTTCCCTGAACACTTCTGCTAGCAAAGAAGTGCAAAAAATAAAGTTCAACGATTTGATTCGCGTGTGCCTTTGACCTGTATGTAAGCGATATGCCACCAATAAATGAGTTCACTTCACGCTCGCCCATCAAATCCCCGAGAAGAAGGAATCCAATCTCTACTCCAGCACATTACCCCGCCATGTCTTGGCCTACATGAAGCGTCATACCTACATTGATCGATTGTCCAACAACTTCACTGGCGCTGCTACTTTGAAAAAAGTATGAATTGACCCAATGTAACAGAATAACAGAATAGCCATAAAGCGATGACCAATTGCTCATCCGTCCCTGATCGAGAGGGTACCCCGCCTCTGTAAGAATCTTGACCCCGCCCACCCGACACTTTTTCCACGATTGTTGAAAGCATGCTGGTGATAGAAAGTTGAAAGCTGAATGGCTGACCTATGATTCAAGCCGAATCTTGTGACACTAACTGCTTTTTCAGGTCAGGTTCAATCACTGACCTTTGAAGTCATAAATGGCCTCAGCACTGTCCCAAAATGTCGCAACTCGCAACTTCGCATCAACGCCATCAACGCCCCAGTACCTATCTACAGGGATTTTCAGGGGCGCGGGAACTACGTTCAGACTGGGGGGGGGGGGGGCACACCATAATAGAGATTAACCTGGGGTACCCCCAAATCTAATTTTCTCACCGGTTTTAGGCCACTTATTTTTCATCCCTTGGCTTTTTCAACGAAAAAGAAAACATATTATAGTGCATGTATGGCCTAAACTTTTGAATTCATTTTAAAAGGGGAAAAAACGCAAGAAATTACCCAACGTTTCGCATTTATTGCTTAGTCATGGGTCTTCGAGTGCCTCGAAGACCCATGACTAAGAAGCAATAAATGCGAAACGTTGGGTAATTTCTTGCGTTTTTTCCCCTTTTAAAATGAATTCAAAAGTTTAGGCCATACATGCACTATAATATGTCACACCTGTCTATTGATAATCCTCAAAAAAGAAAACATTTGCAAAAAAGTGTGGTATTCCGTCTCAAAGCTGTGGGGGCATCGCCCCCACGGCCCCAGAGTTGAGAGGGCAAGCACTGCCCCCCCCCCCCCCCCGGCTCCCGCGCCTATGGGGATTCTTTTACATTTTGCAGGGAGATGAAGCTCACAGCACATAGCCATGGCTATGTCCTGCTTCAAAATAATCAAAACTCTTCTATATAGGATTATTCATAAAGAGAAAATAAGGCCTGATCAGTCACAAAATCTCACCATTGTTTGTCAAAACGGGAAATGTAGGAAAAGTTATTTTGACACAGGAAAAGTTCTAAGACCATCTCAAGCACATGAAATCGGGATTTCATACATTCCTTGCAAGTTGCAATCTCCGTTGCTGAGCTTTTGCATTGTTGACCTTGCATGACGTTGAGTCAAATGTTCGGATAGTTAAAGGTGAATGATTAAAATTTGAGCATATTTCAAAATTCCAGAGCCCATGGCGCTATTCAATTTTCAATATCATCAGAGTGCCAGCCATTCAAAACGAATCAGCTACAGACTTGCGTTCAAAACAAGCAACCATGTGACTAAATGTCTAACCAACAGCAGTATGCATACAGCACACTACCTCGTCACTAAATGGATCAACAGTGCTTTCGTCCGCCGATTAAACCAGTGCCTGAACACGCCAGCTCCTAGTTAGAGCTGTACGATCGACGTAAGTGATCATCCGACGTTGGGTTTCTCCGGCAGTGTGGGCGCTCCCCAGCACTCATAATCAGTTTGAGTGAGCTCGCGTCGCCTCAGCCTCCCTGGGGGGTACTGCAGTGGGAGGGCGGACCCCTCAGTCCAAACGTCTGCCTACTGAGGTCTGCCTACTCGGAAGGGATTGGTGGCGGGAAGGTACGGAACTCACAGAAGTATGTAGATAGATCAGCACAAGGCGCAGATTTTGAAAGAGTGTCCGCTTGGTGGGTGTTATGCTGAGTTTGAGGGCAATACAAAAAAAAAATGCTGGACGAATCGAGTGAGTGCTGAGCTTTGGTTATATTTTTTTTCAACTTTTTTTAAAGAACAATTCGTGACTGCCCTTGGTGGAGGGACCAGCATTTAATTATGTAAGCACATTTATAATAAGGCTGAAAGTGCAGCTATTACTTAACACTGATGATGAATATTTAAGGACCATTTGGTATGTTTGGATTTAGATCACGATACCTACGCATGGGTTCACCGGTTTCTTCCAAAGCCCACCTACGCCTGAAGAGCAAATGTCTTGTTTTGAATCATCATCCTATATTTTGAGACACATCCTCTTTCTCACAGCCTGTGAGCCAGAAACATAATTAAAACTAAAACACATCTCATCGTGGTTTGTGTATTTTGATCCCTCAACACAGTTCACCGATGATCTGCACCTTGCTGAAGCGAGCTTACAGGACAGGGTAGTTGGAGTCGGTGGCCACGCCGCACTGGTTGCTGCCCTTGGTCATCTTGATGTAGCCGTCCATGCCCCAGCTGGTGCCCCAAGAGTTCTTGACGATCCAGTAGTCCTGGCCGTTCTCAGTGCCGTAGCCGACGGCCAGCACGCCGTGGTCCAGGTTTCGGCTGCTGCAGTTGGGCTCGTCGTACACGCCGCTCGAGTACAGCTGGAACGAGAAGTGCGAGGCGTCGATGCCGATCGAGACGGGTCCGACGTTGCTGACGGCGTTCTCCATGTCGCCCTCGTCGTGCTTGCTGATCTCCACCCAGGAGGACATGGTGGCCGCGATCTGAGACGAGTCGAAGCGGCAGTTGAAGTGGGACGCCTCCTCGTACGGGTAGCTGGCCTCGGACATGAGGCCGCCGTGGTCCATCAGGTAGTTGTAGGAGCTCGACTGGAGGCCACCGCCGCAGCCCAGGTTGCCGTACCTGAAAGCAGAACAGATATGATTGATCAGCTGAACGTTGAGAAAGGATAAATAATAGATTCGATCAAAAGAATGGGACTTTTAGGCATGAGGAAAGAGTAAATGCCTGAAGAAGTAGTTAGGCATCGGGTTAAATAAAAACTTGTACCTATCCAAAGACGCTCATAAAGAGAAGCATTTAAAACTTTTGAGGAAACTACTTCCACGGATTATTCGAGTACTTTGCGCTAAGAACTCACATCAGGGAGCAGTCCATGAGCTGCTGCTCGCTGAGCGAGACGAGGGGGTTTCCAGCGAGGGCCCACATGCCCTCCATGGCACCGGTGGTGGAGAACGCCCAGCACGAGCCGCACTGGCCCTGGTCCTTGACGGCGGTGACGGCGCCGGCGTCACGCCAGTCCTTAGTGGCGGCGCTGACGCCGTTCGAGATGTGCTTGCGGGACATGCGGACGCCACGCTCAGCGGCCGTCTTGTATCCGAGCAGCTGGCGGTACTCGGCGTTGGTGAGGTCGGCGAACTTGTTGACGCCCAGCTTGAAGGAGTGGTTGCCGGCGTTGTGCTCGGCGATCAGGCGCTGGTTGTCCTTGAAGATGGCCAGGCGGACGGCCTCCTCGCTAGGGTGCGAGTACGTCTTGCCATGGGCGCTCTGAAGAAAGGAAGGGGAAACATTAACTGCTTTTCATAGGTTGGCTTTGCCTAAATGGCTCATTACCCATGTCCGCTGCTCTTATTACTATCGAAATATGCAAGATCATCAATGGCATTGTCCATGAATAAAGACATATTTTGACGGTGTACACTGTACACTGCATTGTTGGACAGTAACGTAGATAGTTAACATTTTGTAGTCTGTCCTTCACACAAAAGTTGCTTCAGGAACAGGAAAAATAAGTTTCAGTTCGGCTCTACCCAGAACTAACCCATTGCTGGATGGCTTTTACGTCCAGCTACTGACCTTGAAGGCGACCCACTCGGGGTCGGTCAGCTCAAAGCCGACGGCCAGCTGAGCCAGAGCCAACACCAACAGCACCTTCATGATTCCGAGCCTGAAATTCAGAGTTCAAATGTGTTGCACATCATTGGCCAAACAGACACTTATTCATTTCGGTTTAACATGCTATTTTTATAGAATCACTTTCTAGGGGCACATGCGTGATCAGGATCGCTTAATTTTCGTAGTTTTTTTTTTCTTCCTCTTAATTTGTTTGTTGGAAGTAGTCAGGCAATGTGGAGTACCAATTCAGTAACATTTCACATCATTCTTATTTACGTTCTCATATATCGTCCAATGTCCACCTTTGTGCTGAAAACTGAGTGGACTCATCAGTCATCAGCGACGTTCTGAGATTTAAAGTTTTGCGTTGAAATAGGTTTAACTACATTTGAAATAGTTTTCATCCATCTCCCATTGAAAACGTCAGCTCTCAGTACACTCCTCTCACCTTGCAGGGATCCGAAGATGCCATTTGGATAAACGCGTGGCTTATATAGCGAACAGTGCAGCGGCTCGTATCAGCGGGGCCAGGTGGGCCGCCAAGGGCGCCTCTCACGCCATGAGAGACAGGCGCACTGGTAGGCAGGCTCCTGGCTGCGCAGCGCGGCTGATAAGCGCCCCGGGCGCTGTGACCTGCCAGCTGGGGAGGTGGCTGACCTCGAGACGACTGGGAGACGGGTCAGCTGACGACACCGGGGCGTTCCGGTCCGGACCAGATCGCACTGTTCAGGGTGACAAGCATAATGTTGTGGGCGAACACATTGCCAGTGCTCTGAATCGGCGTTCAGTGCGTGCATGGCGGCCACTGCCTATTATCATTAACTGCGCTTTTTAGCTGGCAAGGCATTTTCATTGGTAAAATGTCCACATATTTCAGAAGATACTTTCTGCATAGTTACTAAGCATGAATGACTTTTGTTTTTGAGATTTTGTTGACCTCTTTCAATCTCATGGTTTAAAGTGACCATCCCACCTTTACATTAGTTTTGAGTTGAGATAGCCAAAATGGGGTCCCTGGCTTACACTTACGGCTTTGAGCATTCACAACATCGCAAAACGCCTCAAATCGAATTATCTCAATTCAAAGTTGCAGCACTTTGGATTCAGAGGGGCTAATGCATTTGAATGCCCACTCTGAAGGTGTGACGTCAGCGCAGAGCTGACGATTTTAAATCTTTTACTTAAACGTTTGGTAGCACGCGGTGGTAGATGCTGCTTTGCGCGCAACAAGTGCCGCAGCTGCCAAACTATGTATTGCTTCCAAATAAAGTCGCTAGGAACAGCGGAGATCCCAAAAAGTGAACAAAAGTAATAGTCTGATATCTTGAAAACCGGTGAATACTTTTCGGTGAAATTTGGTAGATATTCCTTTTCGCTCTTTCTGAACCGAGCGACATCACTTCCATGCCAATTCATTAACTTTTTTGAAGGTGGGAGGGTCCCTGTAACATTTCACTTGTTCATTTTGAAACGAATTTAAATGGTAAACGACATTAATCGGAATGATTTAATAGTAGTAGGTATAGAAAGCTGCATAGCTTTCGAAAGCTCGCATTAAATAAAGTAATAGCTGATGTTCAATTATTGTCTTCTATAACTATGTTTGAGTCTTTATTTGGGAATATTTTTCTTTAGCAATTAGCATTCATACTAACGCATCAATTTTACGTTAATGAGCTCACCATCAACTTTCTTTGACATTTTTTAAATAGGAGATTTCCCAAGTCATTGAGCGTTAATCAGGTTATAGGTATCTTACATGGCTTTAAGAAATATAAAAAAAAATAATGCAGTAACGTTTCATATAACTTACATAAGAGATTCACTCGTATGAGCATAACGACTAATGAGCCTAGCAGTAAAAACAGCGAAAATGAATAGAAATGAGCAATAGACGTTTCGATTTCTCCAAACAGCTTTATTTGATGTTATATTGATGCACGGTTTCAGAATCTTTCCTTGATGACTTTGAAACTTTGTTTAAGCCAGTTGCTAAGATAAGATGGAATGACAAAAAAGATAGGTATATATCGGTTTTTGCCCTCCTTGCCCTCTCCTAAAACATAAACAGTTTAATTCATAAAAATGTTATTCCAAAAAGACACAGTGCAGCAGCGAGCATTGTGTATGTGTAGGTAGGCATGGCAACTGCGATACGATTGGAACACTCTTCGCCGAAATCTGCGGAGTAAATACGCTAGAAGTTGCGCTAATTGAGCCATCATCGAAGCCGCACGTGCCAAAGGTTAGCTCAAGAAGGATAATCTAGGCTAGGCTGTATACACGTATTTACGTGTGACGTAACACTTCATACTACGTATGAGCTCGGCCACTTTCTGCCTCTTATACCATGCATTCATATATGCACTGATTGATATGGAGCAAAACAGAACATCATTACGCATTTTACTCATTAACCACATCAGTATGGGCTAATCTACATTTACGAAAGAAGTGCGTCTCTTCTGCGTGATAGGCTGTGCCGCACTACACACGTCCTGTGAGGTAGACTGCACCGCACGACTTCTCAATGTCCCGACGCTCTGCTGCCGCCGCCGGATGCAGGCGCGATGATTCGATCAGGGAGCAGGCTGTGCGGATGCATAGTTTCTACGGGCCGACGGATATTGCATAAGCTTAAAACAACTCTAAGCAATTTTTACATTTTGTAGACCACTGATCATCATCCCCTTTCATAGCATAAAGCATTTGACCTCGCCAGTCGCCTGACGCCTTTAGGTCAGGCGACCACAACCAGGCAGCTAATCTCAGGTCTGCAGAGGTTCTGAGGGCGTAGATCACTCCCTTGAAGGTAGACCGTGCCGCAGTACCACTGCGGTTAGCTATGAACTTACCTAGACCGATACACGCTCTTAGAAACTGGGTGTTTCCAGGAAAAGTTCCTGTAAAGGTTTCAGTTTCCTTTTTCCAGTAAAGTGGCCGTGAAGGCCCCAGCCAAGTAAAGCCGGTTGAACCGGTCCAATAGCCCCACATTGACATTTTGTCAACAGTTTTTCTTTCTTTCTATAATTGTCACGTTTCTTGGAAAAGGCATTAACCCTATTCCTGGCGGGCTCCGCCGGGACAAGAAACTGGCGGGGGGGGGGGCCGATTCGGCCCCCCCCTGAGATCTCGAGAACGAAGCAAGATAGCGACAAACGGTAAACGGCATCGGATACGCACGGTCAAGATCTACAATTTTTACTAAGGTCATTTTCAGGTCAGGTCAAAGATGACGTCACAGGGGTCGAAAAAGTCAAAATGGTGGCGCTAGATATGGAGAGTTTTTCTCGAATAACTTTCGAATTAGTCAAGACAGGAACAAACTAAGGGCATCATCGTGATCCTATCGTCAATCCGCATCGAATGATATATATGTTGACCTCGCAAGGTCAAGGTCAAAGGTTGACCTCAGGTCACGTGACCTCGAGGTCATCATGTATATCATTCGATGCGTCTTGACGAGCTGAACACAATGAGACCATCCACGCGTCTGTATCTTGTTCCTGTACGGAGTTATTGGCCAAAAACCTTTGGTGACCTTTGATGACGTCACATGACCTCTCAGCTGCCCAACAGCAAAACAGACCTCAAGGTAGTGAAGGTTGATCGTATATGAAGTCATGTATGGTATATGGGGCCATTCCGACCCGTTTTAGTGGTAAAAACAGGGAGTTGATTTTTCCCCCATTGACTTATAATGGGGAGGTCGCGAAACTGACCTGACCTTAGGTCACCGATATCAAAATTCCGAGATATACAAATTGCACACACTGGTACCCTAACTAAAGCCTGAAGAGAAGAAATTGATCGGTCAAAAACTCTAGCTCTGGCGTGATTGCAAACTTTTCTGAGGTAGGGTCACCAAACCGCCTCTGGTGACCTGACCTGAGGTCAGATCAACTCAAAATTTTCAGACATGTTGCGTAGAAGCCTTTTAGGAAAAGTCAGAAAATTTGAGCTTCCTAGCTCAACGCGTTTGGGAGAAATAACCAAAAAACCTCAGGGGGGGGGGCTCCTGAGGCCCCCCCCCGCCAGGAATAGGGTTAACTTGTTTTTGTATATGAAAAACCCACGAACGCATGACGCCACGATGTTAGATTTTTTTAAAAATCTAATCATTTCATGCTATACAGGCTACAGCTCTCTCGATGGAAGTAAAGGTCTCCATTTTCGTCCAACTTCATGCATAATATAGGTTTTACATGCGTTTTATCGATTTTGAAAAAAAAATACGAGAGACAGAATGTTGACACTTTTCCGCGCAGTTCCTCAGAAATGACAAATATCTACTCGGCTTTTTTATATTTAGTTTTTTTTTTAGTTTTTTAAATATTTAGTTAACTCGGCTAAGTTAACTCACTTCATTCACTTGCGGCAGGTAATCATCGTGGAAGGAGGGGGGGGGGCAGGGGGATCTACCCAACCGGCCAAGTTTCCCCACTCTCCCCCGCGTCCTGCTGTTCTTAACGGCAACTACCAACACAAGCCCGGGAACAGTGATTCAATTCACTTCAATCCGGATTAGAATAAGTCAGCCGAAGGAGCGTGCTGCTATAATTGTGCATTATGACGTCAGCGTGCACGTAAGCTGTTGATCCACTTTTCAAGCACACAACCAAACTTCTGTCTTCTTCCAGGGATTCCAGTTTCAGACATCTCCAGACTCCAAGCCGAAAGACTTGAAGCCTTCAGCGAATCTGAGCATCGATCCAAATGAAGCGCAACGCAAATGGAAGTTTCGAATTACAATTTTATTATGGGAGCGCCTTATGTTGAGCGGCGTTGCCGGGAGCCGCTCGGGGTTATGCTAGTTTTATGATGGGAATCTCATTAGGGCTGTGCGCGCAGCTCGAGCCGCGATTGGTCGCCAGGCCGGCCAGCGCATGACTAGCCACGCCTCCGCCCTCCTGCTGACCAATCATGAGCCTCATCGATCGGCGAGCTGGGCCTGCCGCCGACTGCGGCTCTGCCTGCGCCTCTCGGAAAGGAGACGCCCTTTCTGGAAACAATTGTAATAAAGTGCCCGAGTGGCCGACGTGAATCAGCCCTGAGCGCGATTAGTTTGTCTGGGCGGAGGCGAGTCTGAGCGCCGGCCGGCGCGGCGGTGACCTCGGCCATTCATGAAGGTGCCGCCGTTACTCCGTGACGCCGCCATCAGCGGCGTCACGGCCCTCCTATCGACAGCCCTCTCAGTGTCACGCCATGAGGTTGACTGGACTCCAGACTTTGGCGCTTGGCCAGTCGCCCTGCCCGACAAAGAACTGGGTGAGCGAGACCTGGTCGCCACTGGCAATGATGGCTGAGAGGCATGAACAAAACATAACGCAGTCTCTCATGAGCCGGCAGACTGCGATGGCAGCCAATCTCCGCAGCGACTGTCGTCTATGGGCGCCTATGATGATTACCTTCCGGCCGCCGCCTGCTACCGAGCGGCTCAGGCTGACAAAGGGGAGGTCAGCCCTCA